CAGGAAATCTTTCTGATCGTAGAATAGCCAAGAAGGAGAAAGCACTTCTGCATACGAGAGTGTTTTTCAGTATCTAAAATTCAAGATGGTCGAAAAGTAGAAGGATCGAAGACTTTTCGGAGAATAATTCTTAGTTTTAATTTTTCTACATGCGCGCAACTTTTGTGAGTTTTTTCAAAGAAAAATGTCGCTAAAGCACTTGAAAATTTACCGTTTATGACGAAAAAAACCAAAAACCTTTTGCGTAAACAACGGTTCTTTCAAAAGTGAGAACATGACAAACTAAAGGTGATTGTCTTCTACTTTATCTACTAGTTTATCATGAGCGAAGGAGGGTCGATGTGTTTTAATCGAAAAGACAATGAAAGAAGAAAAATCTTCGATTTTGGAAAGATTTTCATAATACCATATTAATGGCATTCCAATAAATTTTTCTTTTACATAATACATCATTATATCTGGTTTTAAATCTAGTTTTGGAAATTTGCTTTGCAAATTTGAGAACCAAGCTTCCGCTTCAATTCCTTCAAAATATGGGATGGTACTAACTACTGATTGAATTTGTCCTTCGCTTTGCTTTTGCAATTGTGTTTCTTGTTGTTGGTGAAAATCTTCGTCTTGATTATGTTTACTTTGTTCACTGATAGATACATTTTTTGTTGTTACGACTGATGAGGGTTGATTAAATGAAGTAATTAGTTGTTGTTTAAATTCAGTCCAATTTGTTTGAAACGAAGAAGAATTGTTATCATACCACTGCTGTAAACTTGGATGTAAATAATCATATATCAGAGAAACAAATGTCCTTTCTTTATATTTTAATGTTTGGAAATATAATCTTCAGCTGTTACAATCCAACTTGTCGGATCATCAAAATTTTGAAGATCTAAGAGTAAAATATCTTTTAATAAAATTTCTTCAAATTGTTTAAAATTATCAACGTGATAATGTTTAGTTGTCGTTAAAACTCCAGTATTAATACAGACTCTTGGTTTGTTAAAGTTGAAGTTGCCATGATTGGTAATGTAGTACAGCGTGGAGGTGAAGAAGAATGCGTGGATTGATTAGGAGAGCATGCTTTAGTTAAAGAAGAAATTTCGCGTGATTTATATGATGTAGAAGATTTAATCGATGATGATTTACGTGTATGTTTAGCAAGAGGAAAATCGTTACGAAGATTATGTAAATTAAGATTAGTATTTAATCTTAAAGATTGGTTCATCGATCATGTTCTTATTGTTAAAGAAATATGTAAATTATAAATGTTTTTCAAATTATGAACACAATATATTTGACGAGATCAGCGACAAAAAACTAATTGTGTTAACCTACCTAGCTTACATTGAAATGAACAACCGCGGCAGCGGACCTAGGTCATTTTTGAGCTTTGGATTATACAGAACTAGAAAGTTGCTTGAAATTTGTACTCTAAATCTCTAGACCTATTTGGAATTTTTCGATTTGGTTGAGTTTTCGTCGAGTTATCGACATAACTCGGTTTTTCATTGGCGTACAGTACAACCTTCCCTAAAATTTATCTGATCGAGCTCAAACTTTTACCATAAATAGTATTTTTGTTTCAAAAAAACTTGGAAATTTCTAACAACCTGGCGCTGTTAAGGACATAGTTGATTCATTATTGGGAATCGTCACAAGCGCGTATTGCCAAATATTTATAAAACACTTCGAAATATCTTTTTTTATAAGTCAGGAATGTTTATAATGTTTGTCAAAGGTGAAAAGTAAATTGTATCATGTTTTTTATATAGCTTCTTTGTTTTTGAAATAAACTATTCTTATCATATTCTTTGAGAAGAAGAAGACAATATGTGAGTGTGTTACATAGTTGCCATGGCAGAACATTCCTTGCCAAGAAAGCTTATGTAAAACAAGTAAAGTTTAACTTGTAATAATATTTCTGTTCTTGAATATAATTCTGGTGGTGTGTCATCATCTATTAACAATTAGAATAATTTTTAATTTTATTCTGTTGGATGTGCTGCGATGATTTTGAGACAGAAAGAGATAAAATTGACCGTAAACGTCAGTTTAGTGATAAGTGGAAAAAATATAAAGGTTCCACATTTATACTTGCCGTCTTCCAATTCATACTAGCATGTGCTATAGCATTAACAGAATTTGCTAATATTTTACAAGATTTTTGGTATACAAATGTATTCGGAGGCATGTGGGTAGCGGGAATTTTATTCATTACCACATTTTTGCTGTTCTCATCTGGTAAGTGCGAAGAACAGGGGATCGACGTCTCACGTGCTAAAGACGTTGTAGTGATGTGCTAATCGAATATCTTAATCGGAATATCGAGTGTAGAAATACTTTTAACCTAATTTTCATCGAATATCATTTTTAAACCAGTAACTTCTTCTGCGTTCCATTTCTAGTTTGCTACAATCGTTTACCGAAATGCTTCTTGGCCTTCACCGTTCTGGCCATCCTCGCTATATCCACATTGATCGTTTTTGATGTTATATTTATACTGAATCCATCAATTTGTTTATTAACATCATCGAAGTGCAAGTCTCAGCCACCTCTGACTTCATTTCACTACGTTATTCCTTGGCTGAAAAATTATACGTCAACCGACGCAAAATTATTGTACAGATACATTCAAACTGCATGTTCTGGAGGAGCATTACTAATTTCATTGATTTTAGTTATTATGTACTGTCGTTGTTCTAAGTCTATAGCAAAGGTCAATCCGACACCTTCCGAACATGAATCGATCGAGATGCAGCCTAGTCATCGGCCTGGGCATAATGCATGGTCTCAGTCTACTGACTCAGAGACGCCTTCCGAAGATGGATCGACCGAGACGCTGTCTAGTCGTCGGCCTAGGTATAATGCACGGCTTCAGCCTACTGACTCAGAGACGTCTGCGCCTACACTAAAATCGGTAAGAAAGTTACAACTACCATCCTCATCAATTATTGGTCCAACTATCGGACAAATTCTCGGTGCACATCCAACTTTTTAATTTTTCTAGTTTTCAATGATAATAAATGTGTTGTCTGTGATTGTTTCCTGATTTTTTTTATTTCAAATGCAAACTGCGGTCTACTCACGCCAGAACAAAATAGTAATCGCATATAATGTACCTAAATCTCTCTGTTTCTGCTATTGTAGATGTATAATAAACGTCCGTCATGTGCAGTTAGATAGTTACAACGTCGTTTCTTCAAGTTATTCATAACTGACAACGAAAGAGTAAGTGATCATTTTTACTCGATTAGCTAAAAGTTGTAAAAGACAGTGTTTTCCAACCCCCTTAATTACTTCAATATTTATACATACTTGAGCACTTTACACGACTATCGGGCTTTGTACTGTGTTTCAAGTCTAATTAAATTAAGTCTAAGTATAGAGCATTTGGAATAGCGTTTATTTTCTTCGGTTTTCGAGCTTATACTGTCGCGCCTAAGGGTAGACTATAGGTTTTATTTCCAAGAAGCTTCGATTTTGAGTTAGGGCCATCAAGTTGTAGAGAACATCATCTCTTCAAAATGACACCGCACTCACCTCCGCACAACCTTGCCTTAAAAAGTTATGAACTTCTCAAAAACCGGACACATACGTACAAAAAGTTTAAAAATCTCAAATTAGCAATTTTGTTCTATTCGCATAGAACGGGAAATTTTTTTTCGGGATGATCGTCTTCTAGCCCAAGTCGTTTTCTTCAAAAAGAGACATTTCCCGCAACACTTGATCCATTCCTGGCTGAGCTGTACGCATTCTATGAAAACTACTATTTTTTCGGTACCTTCTGTGCGTATGAGTATAACTCAAAACTCTACCAGCCAAACTTGGCGTACATTACGCACAACCTAAAACTTTATCAGGTCGAGCTGAAATTTTTACCGAGTATATTAGACACTATTTTTCAAACGTACAATTTTTCGTTCCCGTTTTTGATTTTTAATTTCCGAGCTATAGAGTTTTTGATTTCAAAAGTCGGTTTTTTACTTGGAGCGATTTTTCGTTTGGCTATAACTTTTGAACGGGGCTATACTTTATCATAAAACATTCTGCCTCTGAGAATTGGCCTCTACTATTTATGGTAAAAGTTTGAGCTCGATCGGATGAAATTTTAGGGAAGGTTGTAATGTACGCCAATGAAAAACTGAGTTATGTCGATAACTCGACGAAAACTCAACCAAATCGAAAAATTAGATAAATGTCGCTATTCGGCCTTCAGGTTTTTAAGATCTTTCTCTTGCCGTTTACTCAGCTCGATGTCCTAAATTTCCACTCTCTTCACTGAACATTTAGTTCTCCTTTAAACTTTTGATATTCAAGGCCCAAATACAATCTGTTTGTTGCACTTTTATAGAAAGCAAATGGGTGCTAAACCTACTTCGATTCCTGAGAAGCAGATCATATCCTCAGGCGACACCGTTCGTACTTTACCAGCTAGTCAAACATCAGACACTATTGTACGACCATGGACACCTCGGATTCCTGCTGTCAGTGTTAATTCGACGGTAAATCGAGAAGATATCACCATTCTCTGGGTTGGATCATTACCGAAAAGTTACAGTAAAGAAAAGCTTACAAAACGACTGCAAAAGATTAACAGCTCAGTCAAAATTTATGATGAAAATATTGGATTAAGCGATGGTCAATCCGCATCTTCAGCAGCCGATAGTTGTATGAAAGATTCGTTGGACTATATTCAGTTGCTCGAAAAAGAGAAAGCCGTTATAATTTTGTCATCCTCAAATCAGATGACGTTAGAATTAGTTAAAGACTATTTAGCTGAAGTAAATCAAAAACGCCAAACTGCATCAATTTTGGTTTTTGATACAAAAGAACATACGGATAACTTGAACTATACATCGTACTCAAAAGTCTCTCATTTCATGCGCTTGGACAAACTACTTATAGAAACAGAAGAACAAATTAAATCGATGATACATGAAGCACTTGCATTTAGTTTATTTGACAAAAAACAACGTGCGACAAAAGATTTAACAAAAGAATCTGCATCATTTCTGTGGTTTCAAGTGCTTGTTGATACATTGAAAAAAATGCCGAAACATAAAAACTCATTGAAAGAAATGCTAAATATGTGTCGAAGCTACTACATAAAACAAAAAACGAATTATGCTGCTGATATTGCCGAATTTGATCGAGATTACAGACCGGATGATGCAATCAAATGGTATACAAAAGAAACTTTTCTTTACAAATTATTAAATAAAGCACTTCGTACCGAAGATGTCAATGCACTGTACTTATTTCGTACATTCATAGTTGACTTATGTGATCAACTAGAAGAAAAATTCAAAACACTTAAACAAACGGAAGTTGAACTTACATTATATCGTGGTCAATATATGTCGGAAAACGAAATTGATAAATTACAACACAATCAACATAGTCTAATATCAACAAATGGTTTCTTCTCCACGACAAGAGGTAAAGATATAGCAATGAGTTTTGCAAATAAGCATAATTGTCGAACTGATGTAACATCTGTATTGTTTGAGATAAGAGCTAGCACGAAACTAAAAAAAGTTGTATTTGCCGATATAGCAGCGATCGGTGCTTTTGATTACGAAAAAGAAGTTTTGTTTAGCATTGGTGCTGTATTCTTAATCGATGAAGTCTTTTATGATACTAGAGATAAAATTTATAAAGTTCATATGACGGCCACCGACGATGGTTCGAAAAGTCTCAGACTAATCAATAGAGGCACTGAAAGCGGTACGCGTATCTTATTTGGCGAATTACTGCTCGACATGGGTAAATATACCGATTCTCAACAATATTTTGAAAATTTGAGAGCTAAGATGAACGCTGACGATGTCGAAAGTGCAAATATCTATCATAATCTCGGACGTGCTTACGGCTATAAGGGTGAATATGATAAGGCTCTGAATAATTTTAAGCGCGCATATGAAATAAGACAAAAGACCCTTTCAAAGGACGATTACTTGTTGGCTGATACGCTGAACAGTATTGGCGTTATTTACAGTGAAAAAGGTGAATATGAAAAAGCCAGAAAAAAATTTAATGATGCATTAGAAATGCAGAAAAAATATCCTTCCGACGATACAGAAGCAAAAATGTTGCATATTTCTCAGTCACTTAGTAACATTGGAAGTATTCATTTTCTAAAGGGCGAGTATGACAAGGCACTTGAATTTCAAGAAACATCAATATCTGAGCGTAAAAAATTACTGGGAGAGGATAATCTGTTGCTTGCAGAAAACTATAGTTCAATTGGCGGTATTCACCATGCAAAAGGCGAGTTTGATAAAGCGACAGAAAGTTACAATGAAGCGCTTAAGATAGGCGAAGCAAATTTGCCCTCCAATCATCCTTCTATTGCGTTGAATTATCAGGCAATTGGAAAAGTGCTTCATGAGAATGGTAGATATGAAGAGGCACTGATGTATTATAATCTTGCACTCAATATCAGAACAGAAGCCTTGGGACGAAACCATTCGTCAGTTGCTAGTGTTTATAAATCGATAGGAGGTGTATATCTTGATAAAGGAGCCTACGCTCAAGCACTGACACAGTATGTGCGCGCACGAGATATTTGTATGACAACACTATCGGAAAATCACCCCTCGACTGGTGATTGTTATCATAGTTTAGGGATGCTTTGTGAACGGCAGGAGCATTTCGCTGAGGCATTAGCCCACTATACAAAAGCACGAGAAATATTATCGAAACTTTTGCCGGTGGATCATCCCTTAGTAGCTAAAATATGGGCATCTATTGCTAATGTAAAATTACGTGAAGGAGCATATAGCGAAGCCATAGGAATATATGAAAGTGTATTAGAAATACAGCGGGTTATTGGTGAAGAACATCCAGATATTATACTAACGTATAATTGTTTCGGTGTGCTTTATCGATTACAAGAAAATTATGTCGAAGCAAAAGAGTATTTTCAAAATGCGTTGAATATGTGTAAAAAATATTTTGTACAAGATCACCCATTGAAAGCGCGCATCTTACATAATATGGGTGATATGTATACAGAAATGGAAGATTTTGATAAAGCTATCGATCATTATGTACAAGCATATAAAATGCGAGAAGCCACACTGCCACCCGACGACATAAGTACGGCAAGTACTTATCATAACCTAGGATGGGCATATTTGGAAAAGAACAACACAACAAAAGCAATTACTTGCTTTTTAAAAAGTCTTGGTATTTATGAGAACCAAAATACTAAAGATGAAAAAGCTATTGCAGAGGTCAAGGCCGCAATAGACATTGCAGAAAAACCGTATACTACATCTAAGAAGAAATTAGTTGAAGGAAAAGGAATAAATTATGAAGTGTAATCAACGAGTCTGTTCGTATATTTGATTTTAAAGTTTGTCTGTTGTATTTACGGACTAGATTTTCTAACTTTATAATTTGTACAATTTTTCTTATTCCATCATTTTTTTTTTTCTGTAATAAAGTAAATGAAAACTTGAACAAGATCTTTGCACAGGTGAGTTGCTGAGCCTTAGCGAAAACGTTTAGCTAAGAATAGGATTAATTGACATTGCCAATTTGCCAGTATTATTGCCAAATTAGCAATAATACGCAATCGGCCTGATCTTTTAATGATTAAGTATTCGTTTTGCTTCGTCAATTGTTCTTCATTATTCTAACTTTTTGCCAAAGAAATATGTTTGAAAACAGTGTTTGTAATAGAAATATGCAAAATATCTCGGCTCCTTTTCATGATATAAGCTTCGTCTGGTTTTCATTCGATTCAGAATCAAAACGTGCATAACAGGAACTCATGACATTTTACAATTCAACAAGAACAGAAGAGAGATCTAAAATTCCTATGAACATATTTTCATTGTAAGCAACGGCGTGTCATTAGACCAGGGAATAAAGACCAAAAAATGTGGGACCAACGAAATCTGCTCAACCTGATTCTGTACTAAACGTACTACAGAAAATTTCTAGCGAACTTTTCCAAAAACCGAGATGTTTTTTATTACTTTTTAAAATTATTCTTAAGTTGCATGATACAGCCCAGATAAAAGAGACTACATGTGGATATTCTGCAGTAGTTTGAAGCGGTTTTGAGCGAATCATGCATTTTTGGATTTTACCGGAAAATGGCCCAACATGGGTTATTTCACCTAAAATAGGCTCTCACTAGGTTCTGGAACTTTCTTTTGAAAAAGCACACTGCCACGAGACTCAGTGTGATCGATGACCTATGTTTACAACTGCCTCTGAGGTTGCCAGACGTAATCTTAACGAATACATATGTCTCAGGAACATGTTTACAGTCCGAGAACCATAAGAGATACAGAAGTCAACCTTGCTCAGAATCGTAGAGTAGACATTGGGCTACACTATGGCTAAAACACTATGGCTGGAAATTGAAAATGAATATGATCAAAGGAAGCAATCAATGGTTTTCCAGAAAACCTCTGGAAAATCCCCAGAAAACTGGAGTGTGTGTTATTCCACGCTCAAAGAAAAATTCTCTACCTGAAAAAATTAATATGTTTCTCGTTAAATTAAAAAATAGCTTGCCATAATATGACACCTCTGAACGTGTCAAAGATCCGAACTAGTTCTCAAACGCGTTGTTGAAACAAAATGTGACAGTACGTTTAACAGGAATGCCACCTTTTTCCATAAAATTTCGACGGTTGCGATAATAATGTTCCTGTGAACACAGATCTATTTTTGAGATCACACAATATGGTAATATAAAGAGAAGAAAAACGATTACAATCAAAGAATTTTACACAAATACGGAAACGAGCGAAATGAAAGCAACAAAAATTGCTCAATTGCCGTCAGGTAAATCCGACAGCAAGCTTCTTTTAATTCCATTCTGAATTTCCGAAGGATCGCCACAGTCTCTGCGATTTCTTATAGTTTTTTAGGCATTCTTTCTGTTTTTTCGTTTTTTTCTCCTTTCCTTGCACACATTTTGTTGCATGGAATGTGTTTTTGTTTTTCTCTTTTCTTGTTTTTCTTTTTTCTTGTTTTTCTCTTTTCTTGTTTTTCTTTTTTCTTGTTTTTCTCTTTTCTTGTTTTTCTCTTTTCTTGTTTTTCTCTTTTATATACGCAATACATTCGACAATCGAATAATATACAGAAAAAAATTTATTAGAATTCTAGCGTGTAAGTCTTCTTTTTCTTTTTCTGTATGTCTCATATCCAGATCCGAATGTAAAACATTAGCAGACATTTGAAACGGAAGAGATCCTCGAGAGACAACATGTGCCAACTAAATTATTCGACAACACAGCAAGCGGCTGCTTGTCATCGATGTTCTCCTCGTTCTACTCCTATCTCTATCACACCGATCTCTTCTATATCTTACCTTCGCTCATTTTTCTTGTTGTTTGCTCAGTTCTGTTCTTTATTATTTGTCTTCGCTTCTTTTCTCCACATTTTTTTCCTTCGTTGGGTCGTTCTTTTTTCTGTTCTCTACGTCAGCATCAATATGATGATTAACTTTCTTTTGCAATGATAAAATCATGTCCTGTAAAAATGTTTGCCACTATTTTTTCTTCGGTTTCTTTTGAAGAGAAAAATGAAGCTTATTGTCAAAGTCGTCTTTGGATCATTCTCACTATTCATTGCACTGATCGCAGTTGGTTTGGGTTATTTAAAAGCTAATGACAGCGTTCGACAAAAACGTGAGTACGATCAAAGCTCGAAATCAACTTATTCCTTCAGATATTCGAACGTATAGTGAACACCATTTGAAACAAAAAGGTAGATAGACGGGGTGTCCCAAACGTTTGTAACATTTGTTATTTTGCGTATCGAAAAACAATAAAATCTTGACTGTTTTTTAATGATGCACAATTCAATTCTCTACAAACTTCTGTTTACCTTAATTTAAAACAATAGAGCTGAACGTTTTCACAGGTCACATAGTGCGATTGTAGGAATTGCGCCTACTTTTTTACAGTTTTTTTCAGGGTATAAACAAGCACTTAAAAGGCTGAGTTTTTGTACTGCGATTGAATATCAAGTGTTCTTTCAGAATTATTTGTAAGCGTTTTATCACAATCTACTTTTGTCTAATAACAATGACCTGTCTGAGCTGTTACAGCCCAAAACAGCTTTCTTGATAGTAGTCGGGTTCTTTTCCCAGCTGAATCATTTTATTACATGTTATTTGGGCTCCAAGTAGAAAACCAAATCCATTTTCTACGAACTACTGCAAAAATGAACTCGGCTTGACCATAGGAGTCGCTGCACGAGAGGCACGATCGACCTTGCGCAATCGAAGTCCTTAAATCTGGCTGAAATCTATTCTGATGTAATTGTAGCGGATCATGTTTTATCCAAAAATTCAGACCTATGACCTATGTTTACAGAGATATGCGAGCTTTCCTATTGTTCGACCAAATGATGCATACATCCGGTAAAATGTGATTTTTTCTGTAACGACAGGCTCGAGAGTGCTGACATTTTTACCACGGATAGATCTCATGGTGGGCTACTAGCTTGTGAGGTTACATAGGTTCGAATTTTATATATCAACCGGTCGTCAAATTTTGACCTCGTGCTCTTATGATGAAAATTATATATTCGGAAATGGCGTAAAAAGCTGAGTATAGCTCAATAAATATCTGCGAGGGGTATGGTGTACACTCCAGCAAAACATTCTGGCAATAGTTTGGAAAAATGTCAGCACTCTCGAGCCTGTTGTTACAGAAAAAATCACATTTTACCGGATGTATGCATCATTTGGTCGAACAATAGGGCTTTCAGGAAAGCTCGCGTATCTCTGTAAAGATAGATCATATATCTGGATTTTTGGATAAAACATGATCCGCTACGATTACATCAGAATAGATTTGAGCTAGATTTAAGGATTTCGATTGCGCAAGGTCGATCGTACCTCCCGTACAGCAAGTCATAGGTGACATTTTTAGGATGTCTTTTTTAAAAATGAGTAACTACTGCCTAACGGAAAGAATTAGCATTAGAAAACTTTGTATATATGCACAATTGACAGAGGCTTTTGAAGAGCTTTCTATCCGTGAGTTATGTTTTGAAAGCTAAATATTCGTTGTACGGAAAAAATAAATTAGTGAAAAAATCTGTGGGAACTAGTTGCAATTTATACAATCACACCGTGTGACCTATTAAAAAATTCAGTTCTATTGTTTAAAATTAAGATAGATGTTTGTAGAGTATTGAATTGTGCATCTTTTTTAAAAAATTCAAGATTTTATTGTTTTCCTGTACTGAGATATATACAAAATAAAAATGTTGCAGACATTTTGCGGCACCCGGTAATGATTTGCATCGTTGTTTAATCTATCATCAAATATCTATTTAGTTTTGTAGAACATGAAAAACATATTAATATGTGACGCAAAAATTATTGGAAAATAGTGTTCGACCTTATTTCAGTTTTTTATTTAAAAGAGAAAAATCTAGACTATAATCGAATTATGTCTGTATTTTATTTTCCATTCTAGTTTTTGCTAGACTTTTGGATAAGTTTTCCAACGAAAATGACACCGCTGTTATGAGTCTTCGGTGCGATGAAATTCTTAGTCATTCACGAGTCCATGATCATGTGCTAGAAATTGGCACTGGTACTGGAATTAATTTTGCGTGTTTACATAACAATACACATATTACTGACTATGTCGGTATCGAACCGAATATCCACATGCATCCTTATGCTCAAATAGCTATAAAACGATGGAATGTTCCGTTCAAAGTACGCTTGTCGAGTAATTCAGCTATTGCCATGAATGATGTCGAATCGAACAGTATCGATACAATTATAATGACATTTGTTCTATGTAGTGTACCTGATCCATTACCTAAACAACTACTGATTGAAGCACATCGTGTTTTGAAATCGGGTGGAGAACTACATTTGTTAGAACATGTCTTATCCGATCCAAATGTGAAACCAATGACAAATTCATTTCAAAAATTAATTGATCCCCTATGGGCCATTATTGGTGATGGTTGTCACTTCAGACCAATTGGGAACTATTTAGATCAGATGAAAACGATCTATTCTAAAGTTGATTATCAAAATATCGAAGTACCCGTTCCATTATTTCTTGTCGCAGATGCTATCAAGGGTGTGCTCACCAAATGAGCAACTTTTTCCCGTGTTCGGTTCGGTTTTTGCAATCGAATAGCTATATATCAGAGTTGTCAATCGTATTTTCAATATTACCCATTGAATAATGTGGCCTGATGTTATTTTCTTTTACAAATTCTTTTTATCAAATATTAATCTAATTGGCTCTTTGAGACAAAGAGAATCTACACTCACTTGCGACTGTAGCTGATCTTGACCAACTTTACTAAATGTATCAACGACTGAATCCAAACACACAAGTATACCTAACTTCTGCTTGGTCTGATTGTGATAATTCAACTTCAGCTGTCATCACATGCCAAATCTACGAGGGTTATGCTACTTCTCTAGACGTATAGTGGGTTAAACCATCGAATAGATCACAGTATAATTTAGAATGGCTGTATGTTAAGTAAAGTTTTGTCAAACACACACACTTCGCATGTATTCGAAGTAAAAAAATGTCGGAAATTCAGTTTACTATCTTTTATTTGTTTGACTGAACACTGTACAGTGAGAATTGAGAGTAGCTCAGATCAATTCAGCATCGACTCATATTCCACTAGCAAAAATTATAACTAGTTCCGTCGCATTCGGAATCCGCTGTAACTACTATCCGTTTCAAAACACCGTACACTTAGTTGTTTTGTAAATAACCTTTGATAGAGATGAGATAGCAACCTGCGGTCTTCAGTTTAGAAACTAGACACCGGGTTACATATTTCTGTGATCAAAAGCGAATTTCAGAAAAACTTTTGAAGCGGGTTTTCAAGAGAATCTTTGGAAAACTAGTTGGACCTTCCGAAATTCACATAGGAATTTATTGAGTTTTTCTCATGGGCTGATAGCCCGGGGTGTACTCTCCAAAACGGGAACAAAGTGAGACTTTGATTTTCTGCGGTTCGGGCGTTGTATCGGATTTCCGACGAGTCCCGGGACAGGCACTCGGTGACTCGTGGTAGCCTTAAAGACGAATGGACTATGGATAATCAACCATGCTGAGTCTTGCGGAAATATTTGTTTTTAGAAAAAGTTTTAAAAATTTACCAAAAAGCCAGTTTTACGAAAATTAGGGTTTTCAGGCTGTTTTCACCTAATATTAAAAAATTCACTATTCTCTCAAAAAACATCAGAACAAGCTCCAAATCTCAGGATATGATTAATGTTGTCCGCTAAACGTGATTATAAGAGCGAAAAAATCTAAAAGCATAGTTTTGTTAATAGGTTATCCAGAAAGCCTTTCGAAAAATCTTAGCGTTTTTAAAATTTATTTCGAGATCTCCTATCAACAGGATATAGAATAGCTTAAATACTGCACATTCTGAAATATTGTTTATTTCATACTATTCGAAAGACATGCATAATGCTCACCCACATTTTTCCTGCTATTTAATCAATCTTCTCTTTAGATTCAAGTTACATTGATTACAACAGAATTTTAAAAGATCACTATCATTGTTTTGATAAGCATATACGACTGTCGTAACTTCATCGTATTTCATCGTTTACATGGTATCGTATGCATACACGTATACGACCGTCGTATTTTTTGACATATTACAGCGTAAACGATTGCATACCACCTGGGATATGACAATAATATGCAAAAATTAAACTACTGAAGATCAGTTTGCATGATTAAAGGTGAGATGTTGTTAAAGGCAGATATGTTGTAGTCCTGACAATTCTCAGTATATTTTGTCCCAGACATATGCTTTAATTCTGGTAGCGGAGAAGTACCGGATACTAAAAGTCACTCAATCCTCAGCATGTTTACACGAGAGCGTTCACATCAGGCTTGCCAACCGCAGCGCTAGCATCAATGCGTTTTTTGCAAAAATCATAAAAACGCATTGATACTAGCGCTGCGGTTGGCAACCCTGGTTCACATTAGGAACAAAAATTCTCTTTCCATGCGCTTTAGGCACGTGGTCCCTAATGTGAATGATCGCAACACTGCTCACATTTCCGATCATAACTCACTCAATTTAAGTTCGATTTTAAAAATTCTTTCATCACCCCATAAAAAAGGATTAATATTCCCTGCTCGGCATTCGATTCAGGAGACTTGCTCTATTAAAAAGTATAAAAAGGTCTATTCAACTCTCACTCAATTACTATAAAATAAAGGATAAAGTGCATCAAGCGTTTTTTCTGGTCAAATCAGAAACAATCACTCTAGTATAAAAACACACAACAGAAGGGATATACTGTTTTCGTCCGTCTTTCTCGTCTATTATTGTAACTACATATTTTTTTTATAATGAGAAGTTTATTCTATCAAACGCGGCAAAAAAGTGATGCAATAGTTATCAAGATCACTCATGTAGATCGTCAATTCGGTGTTTCTATTGTTAGCGCGGGTGTAAAACTCACGCGCCAGTGTTGAAATCTGCTCTGATTGGAGCTATTTAGACTATTCAACCAGGGGCTATGGCTTATTCGCACCAGTAGTTATAGTGGTAATTCGCTTCTATCTCTCTATGGCACCAATTAGTTTATTGGTATAATAGTTATATCTTTTGTGTCAATAAATATACAAGACAAGATGTACAGGAAGAGCTCACGAGGGAAGGCCACCAACTGTCCAATGCCGTTTGACCCCATTTTTTGCCTTCATGTAGGCCTCGATGAGGTATGAAGAACCCTGGCACCATTCCGACTAATGCCTCTTCCTTGCTGAGATATTGCATTTTTAGTCGATTTTTCCTGCAGGACCGCAGTTTTCCAGCAAAATCATATTCTCGAATTTCGACCTGAAACTTTGCTCAAATGAAGACCTCAATTAGACTAGCTTATGAAAAAATTTCAAACTTAGTTGGATTTGAGCAACAGGCCATAGACATGCCTGAAGCAGACTTCTATAACAGCTTGAAAGCGGCCTGACAAGGGACATGCTCTTGTACCGGGCATATTCGATCAATGGCACAAATACGAATATCAAATAGATGACTATTGAGATCGTCTTCTCGCACCGAAGCAATCGACAGAGATGCTGGTCGACACTGTGACGCACGATCGAACAGGGACTGTGCTAAAAACGACGATGCAACACTGCAATCAATCTATCGTGTCCAGTGAACAACATATCATATTATTATCAATATATTTAAGAATAACAGCGTCTACAAAATGAAAACTGTCTTGGCTCTGAACGGCGATTCTTTATGAAAATACAGCTGTCGTACAAACAGCCCCAAAAATCGATTTTGGAGCTATCTGAAAAACGTATCTAAAAGGCTGAAGACGAGCAGGCAAAAATTCAACAAGTATACCAGTTTGTAGAAAATTGTTTGCTCTACAAGATGTGATAGCTTGTTAAGTTCGAAACTATTCTAATTAATCTGTATTATTCAAAGAAAAAGCAGAGAAACTGTCAAGGTGTGACAAAACCGGTCAAAACTGTCACACCTTCACCTGATACCCTCCAATAAACCCTTCAGGAAAAAGAGCAAGTTGTACACCTTTTGATGGCGCTTCTTTACTATATTTCTCGAAATGTAATAAAGTTTTTCAAAATCAAATTCTTGGCAAGCACATTGACATATACCAACTGTCAACTTCACCATTTTTCGTCAGTGAATAACATATATTTATTTAACTTTCATTCTTTAGACAAATAAAGATAAGAAGAATACTTCTTCCTTCTTTATACTACTGTTAAAGTATCACATGACACATTCATACATTTTATTGATTTTTCGGATAGCTCGAATTTCGAGAAACTCGAGGAAGGTAACATCTTTTTAATTTCGGATGAACTGAGTTTGATCTTGATCGAAGACCTCATACAGAATCTACTCGGAAAGATGCTGAAAAGAATTTTTGAATTCTATTCGACTACGAAAAAGATTCTTTGCAAAAGTATTATATTCTAATGAACTCACTTTTCAAGTACCTTCAAACTTTCGAAAATCGAGCATAAATCCGATTGGCATTTCTGAGCAACCTGCTCATTGTGAAGGATCGACATTGACAACAGTTCAACATGATGGTAAGCCTAATCTTCTTGGACAATTGAGAAAAAGAGAATAAACGTAATAATTTATAA